TGGGCGCGTTGTAGGTGGCAGACGATTTAGAAGTCTTTTGAAGTGTTCAGCTCAGTGTTTTCTCTGTTCCACCTCTTTGGTGATTGACTTTCCATTGTCGTCCTTTATTGGCCTAATCTGTGTCGAACTTTTGCCCGAAAGGTGCCTAGTTGTTTGGTAGAGTGTGGCGAGGTCTCCTTTGCCTGCAGCTTGTTCTGCTTCACTTCCCATGGCTTCATAATATTTTCTTTTGCCTCCCCTGGCACTCTTCTTTACTCTTTTGTTCTGGGTATTGTAGCTTGCATTCAACTCTTGTTTTTGTTGCTCGTCAGTGCACTGGCTAATCTTTTGTTTCACTGTCCTTCTCTCTTCTACTAGTTTCCAAGTGTCCGTAGTGAGCCACTGTTTGTCCTGTCTCTTTTTTCTGCCTAGAACGTCCATGCAGGTTTGACTCCACACCGTTTTCAAGTTGTTCCAGTGCTTTTTGACGCTGACCTTTTCGCTGGTGTTGATTTTTGTCTGCTTGATTATAGGTGACTGAATGTTTGACAACCTTAGTCTCGTAAACTGAAGCTACCAGTGGTCGTGGATCTACACTAGTGAAGAGTCCTAAGGTGGGGTGAGGCAGCTGTCCTGTGCCCTCTAACTGACGGGGCTCTGTGATGAAATCTGCGTCGGAATAAAGTCGAATTCCCTAGACTACCTACGAACTGTCTCAGAGGGTTTGATTATGAGTGCAAGATATTATAAAAAGTTACACTTCCATAATAATTTGTTCATTAGATGTATCACACAGTCAGTGAGACACCATTATTATTTACTGGACGACGAAGTTTCGAACACATTTTATTACTGTTCATATTCATCTTATCAATTATAATCACACGACTTCGAAACTTGAGTTTCATAGTTTTCTTTGTCCTCTTCTATACGTCGTCGTTGAGGCAGTAGAATTTTCCAGATATCTGGGACAGGTCAGTAAAGGTTAGTAAAAATAAGATTGTTGAAGTGTTTCAGTAATAGGGAACAAAAACTAAGTAGCACCGAGGAAAATCTAAGACAGGAAATGAGGCATACACGAGAAGCTTTGAAACTTAATAATCACCCTGATAAGTTAATCAGAAAGTATGTAGGGAAATGTAAAATTTAAATAAATAATGATAGTATACAATTGGTGGATGGTGGCTAGCAGTGGAATCCAGGATGCGCATTTCGTCCTATTTGGGACTCGTCAGCTGGATGTACCTGCATTTCTCAGTGAGTGATGACGTTCCCACCGAGGCTCGAACCCAGTGCCCATAGTTTCAAACGCCAAAGCGTTATCCACTAGACCACTTGGGCCACGAGAGCCACCTCTTGTGCAACGGGTCATATGAATTATTCAATTGAATTTTGGATTTTCCCGTCGACTGATTGGACCGAAGTGCTCGGTCTCAGGTTGACATGTCGGCTTCTTGTGCAGATGCTTCGACGATGTCTGGGGATTTGATTTGTAGTGGATCTAGTGGTCTAGTGGATAACGCTTTGGCGTTTGAAACTATGGGCACTGGGTTCGAGCCTTGGTGGGAACGTCATCACTCACTGAGAAATGCAGGTACATCCAGCTGACGAGTCCCAAATAGGACGAAATGCGCATCCTGGATTCCACTGCTAGCCACCATCCACCAATTGTATACAAATCAAATCCCCAGACATCGTCGAAGCATCTGCACAAGAAGCCGACATGTCAACCTGAGACCGAGCACTTCGGTCCAATCAATCGACGGGAAAATCCAAAATTCAATTGAATAAATAATGATAGTAGCGATAGTGGTAATAATGATGGTAATAATAATATTAATGACGACATGCAAGTCAAACATGCACAAGATTATGACAACACCAACAATAAGGAATCTAAATCATCAGTAGTTATTTCATATAAGGAAGAAACCTCAGAAACCTTAAGAGAAAAATTCTTAACAAAGCAGGAATAAGAGTGGCTTGCATTCGAACCCACATACTCAATTAGAAACAAACTGTGTTGGTTAAAGGATCACTCCTGTGGACCCTGTAAAAAAAACCCATTTAAGTTATCTAATACCTTACCTGTAATGATTGTCAAGTCAATGTCATAAGTCAGAGGAGTATAACGAGGTTAGAAAGACTAGTAGAGTACATGAATTCGGACACTGGTCATATTGTAGACAACCTGAAGTCGTTCAGAATAATCAACAAGCAAAAGAAATCTAGCTTGCTACGCTTTGCTGAAGCAATTGCTATCAAAAGACTTAAACGAAATCTATGTACGCAGAAAGAGACAGTGGTGAACCTTGCACTGCCCTGGTGATGACAACAATTATATAACTTTCATGAGTCAACTTTTTCATGTTTAGAAAACCCTACTCTCTCATCTAAACATGACTCATCCTATCTCATTTCTTTTCTGTTCTTTTGCTACTAGATAAGAAGTTTTCTTTAGTTACGTAATCTACTTTTTTGTTATGCTCTTTCTAGCTAAACCTTGTTTCTATACACACACATATATACACGCAACCCTGTTCTTTGTTTCCAAGCCTAATTGTCTAATTATTCTATAAGTAGTCAGTGTTTGTAACTCCTAATCAGTTAAATCATTCCGGACTAATGTTACTTTTAATTCTTACCAATTACTTCTTACGATCGTGGAAAAGTATGTTCAAATCTTTAATGTAATTCATATTTTTTAACGGTCAGGTTGTAACCAGTTGAGAAGAATCCTCGAGATAATAATAATAAAAGTTGAGCTCATATTATCGTGGTACAATTGTTGTCCTTGCTTTGTTCAAAAATATAGATTAGTTGACTCGAAAAAGATAAGAAATCTGGAGAATAGTTGAGCTATAGCACTTACTACGTGCAGTTATGCACAACCATACAATAGGCTGGGTGGGATAAGATGACAGTTTTCAAATCTCATGTAACAGGAGGGTGGAAGGAAAGATTGATAACAGAGGCTCTGTTTATCGAATCAACTGCAAATGCGTGTAATAGGAATGATTCAACACCTGTCCTTTCGGACATCTGGAAAATTCTACTACCCCAACGACGACAAATAGGAGAAGACAAAGAAAACTATAAAACTCGGGTTTCGAAGTCGTGTGATTATAATTGATGACATGATTATGAATAATAATGATGATAGATAGTGTTCAAAACTTTACCATCCAGTAAATAATACTGTTTCACTGTGTCATATATCTAAGTAACAAATTACTATAGAATAACACACTATCACAGTGCCTAAGTTTTACTCATGTACAAAAAGTTACACATTGTAGCAATGGAAAATGTTACATTTTGCCACTGATATCCCATTTATTGCACAGCTTTGCCTGTGACTTTTATAATGGTATCAGTATAATTCTCTCTTTTGTCATTTGTGATAAACCTCCTAGTGGTTAGCGTCATAGTGACCGTCAAGCATATTGTATTGTAGTTTTTACTCCATGCTTTCCTGCGGAATTGAAATGTCACTTGTGATTGCAATAACGTTTCTTTTTTTCTGTTTCAAAGTTCTACTTCCTCTCCAGCTTTTCTTCCTGCTTATTTTGTTTTAGTTGAATATCTTTGAAGGGGTGGTTGAAAGAATCGGGTTATGCTATTTGATTTGCTTTATGCTAGAATGATTGGGAAAAAATATCCCATGCAGAAAAATTTTGAAATTCATACTAAATTAGCATTAGTAATGTCTGGCAATGTATCAGTTTTGTAAAGAATTTGAAAATAACCTATAATAGTGCTTTATCTGGTTAGATCAGGGTAGAATAGAATTTTCCGGTAATAAAATTAAGCAAAATTTGGATGTGTTGACCAAGAATCGAAAACGGACCTTGGGTGTAGAGCTGGTGAGTATCCTACGATTGAACTACGACGAATAGAACTTTTCTGCTTGACTTTTGAACTCTTTTGAGATAACCCTGTTAGGCGCAGAAGTGCATCTGTTTAGCTTGCTACACACCGGAATGGGTGATATGAAAAATAGAGAGGAATGATATAGAATAGGGAAGGAACTGGATAACAGAGTAAAAAGATATGGTTACAGGATTTCATCATGAGTTGATATTGGTTAGAGAACCATTGGAAAATCTGGGAGTACTGAACAGCTGTTTCGTCCGCCTAGTTTGGAACTCTTCAGCAGTACGCACCCACCACCACGGTGCAAACCCAGGACCTTCTGGTTACAAGGCGAGCTAGCTTGTAGACCATTAAGCCACTGTGACCCGATCCAAGGGCTCGTGAATTCCAACTCCTCTCAATTCACGATATAGCGCAACCGCTAGACGATGTCTTCGGCGAGTATTTGTCCTCACACCCGACCTGCTGCACCCTACTGGTCACTACTTTCCAGGACATGAGGATAAATACTCGCCAAAGACAGTGTCTAGTGGTTGCGCTATATCGTAAATTGGGAGAAGTTGGAATTCGTGGGCCATTGGATCGAGTCCCAGTGGTTTAATGGTCTACGAGCTAGCTCACCTTGTAACCAGAAAGTCCAGGGTTCTAAACCTGGCGGTGGGTGCGTGCTGTTGAAGAGTCTCAAACTAGGCGGACGAAACAGCTGTCCAGTACTCCCAGGTTTTTCAATGGTTCTATAACCAATGTCAGCTCGTGATGAAATCCTGTGACCATTCAACTAAATCCGTACAAACCAAAACTAGATTAATGATATATCGGTGAATAGTAACTAGTAGTGGCATCTAGGATGCTTATTTCTTCGTATTTGGGACTCGTCAACTGGATGTACCTGCATTCCTCGGTAAGTATTGATGTTCCTTTCGAGGCCGGAACCTCACTCACTGCGTAATGCAAGTTCATCCAGATGACGAGTCCAAAATAGGACGAAATCCGCATCCTAGATTCCATTACGAGTCACTATCCACCAATTAACTTCTAATGTCTTCAGATCAGTTGTGTTATTTGTAGCATTTATACGATAAATCCTCATATGTTGACTTTTTAATTATTATTTTCAAAACAATTCCTTTTAATCCTTCTTGCAGGAATTGTCAGCTGCATCAACTGCGAGTAGAGAAGAGTCGAAAAAGCCAGTGTTGAAGCTGTTCAGACGTAGTGAACTCCTGAATTCTAGTAGTCATCGATCGTTTTCTCAATTCAGAGAAGGTGAAACATCTTCAAAAGTCAGAAAATAATACTTCAAATGCTTCTGTTCAAAGAATTAACACTTCACATGGTGATCGAAGTGGTTCACTGATGTCAACAACGACGGTGATAAAAACAAACGCAGAAAAGTAATTTCTTTTTTTGTAGTATTCACCTTCTGTTTTTTAAAAGTAAAAAACTTACGATTTTGAAGTCATAATGGAGAGGATTTATAGCACAGATGGATGATTTTAATTGTAGTTGTTAATTACGGACGTTTCATCGTCTTTCTAGATAACATCTTAAGAGTTGACTTCAGCGTGAAGTCAGATTTTTAGAATTCTCAAGAATAATCTAACTGTCTTGTCTGATGGCGATGACTGTGAATGACGGTCTTAGGAGGTTTGTCTTATCCTAGTATTAATTCGTGCCAGTATCTGTCGTTTCTTCGTTGAATTTGCATTTGACCTTTTGACCTAATGACCTGTTATTCATGCGTCGGTGTCACAGCGGTCAGGACTCTCACCGACCATACACATGGTCCGGGGTTCGAGTCCCTGCTGGCGCACACCTGATATCTACAGTTGGCCTGCAAAATTTGGGCTACCGATATCACATGCTGAAAATTCCATACTTGTACCAAAAATACAGTGTGGAATCAAGCTGTAATCAAAATAAATAGAAAATATAAAAAAAATTTGATCTACATCTGCATGTTTTTTGAGTGTAGATGGATCAGATTACAAGGCTTGCGCAAGCTCTCTGTCGTTTTTAATATTTCCGGTGTCTACGTTTACTGATATGAAGGGACATGTGTCATGCCTGTTGACAGCTAATTTATGTCCTTTGATTCACAGTCGAAAACGACATCTTGGGTAGAATTCTAAAAGACTCACTTCACCTTGATGGAAGAAGTGAATGTTTTATCTAGGAGGACGATGAATGTTTCGCATTTAAACCCCCAACCAGTGCAGAGGATTTAACCACACTTGAAAATATCTGGGTTCCTGCTGATTGCCTGCAGCCATCTAATATCATCAAATCAATGTGCACCGTGATGGAAAGCCACTTAGAACGGTGGCCAAATTGCAAACCTGACTGGTAGAATTCAGTCTGCACCAAAGAAAAACCAGACACATCAAAGTGGTTACTAGTGTTCAATTAAAGTATCCACCAAAGTCCTACAAGAGGTTAGTCACGAGCACGAATAGCTCCACAGTGGTAACGTCTCTGACTGCAGCACTCTGTGGGTGACGCGGGTTCGAATCTCAGAAGGGACATGAGTTCCTTCAAGGTTGCAGATACGCCTTGCTCATTGGTGAGTTTCAACTAGCACTAAACCCAGGTCCAAGGCTTCCTTTGGCCAATTGCCTCCAATCACTAAATATAACCAAATATTTGGATTTTCTTATATGATCTGAAGTATGGAATGAGGCATACTGGTAAGCTGTTAAGGAAGAGGGATCACCGTTGTACTGGGATTTCGATGCATTTATTTTCTACTATTTTCGAGTGCCCTGCGGCGCGTGCATTAACATGTTACATCGAGTTTTTATTGGAGTCAATATTAGGATTTGCGTTGGTGGTACAGCGGTGGAATGGTCGCCGAACACGCATTTTATCGGGGTTCGATCCCCGGCTAACATACTCCTTTACCTCGCTAAAGGCCTATTAAGACTGGTAATGAGAGAAGGTTGAGCATGAGGCTAGCAACCCTATCCCTTAAAAATAAACACCATTGCTACCGTGCCTTCATATCTCTAGCTTGAAGCCTTATTTTCCAATGGGAACGTAAAGGATTAAAAAATATACCCGTCTCTTGTGAGTTTTCCAGACAGGTTTTAATTTCTTCAGAGGCACTCACCCATTAACTTACGTCATGTAAAACGCAGGAACTTTAGGTCAAACACCATCGTTCGTTTAAGTATTCTGGATTTGCCTGGAAGATAAATCTTTTAGCAAGCTTGCAACAAGTCATATTTTTAAAAAGAAACCTAATAAAATAGTTAGTGAAACAACGGTTAGTGATAGGAGACAGAATAAAAATAGGAGCTGTGGCACGATTCCGCCTAAAAACTACCAGTCCAAGACTCCACCATCTCAGCAACAAGACCCATATGCTGAGCAAATGATCCTTAAGTTGAGATCTAAAATCATCCTAAAAGATTTTTATTCCTTTACGTTCCCATTGGAAAACAAGGATTTAAGTTAGAGACTTAAAGTTTCGGTAGCAGTTTTGCTTATTTTTATGGGATGTGGTTGCTAGCTTAATGACCAACCTTCTCTATTTACCCGTCTTAAAAAGGCTTTCGCAAGGCAAAGGAGTCTGTTAGCTGGGGAACAAATCCCCAGTCAGATGCGTGGTCAGCGAGCATTTCACCGCTGTACCACTGACACGAGGATGGATATGCATAAATCAAATCGACAATTTAGAAAGTGGTTAGCGATTTGCAATTTACACAGTTCCTGTGGCGAAGTTTTACAATAGTTTCCTTTGAAAATCTAAGCTATTCCGATCACCACATGTTATCTGCTTGATATCACGAACAGTAATCAAGAAAACAAGCAAATTTGCATAAAACTGTGTACTACTACGAGCGAAACGGCTGTCCATTACTGAGATCACCTTGATCTAGCTAGCAGGTACTGCTGGTTGATATGCAACTACTTACCCTCCGAATCAGTAGTATAGTAGTATAGTCTCTGAATTGAGTTAGGGGCTTATCCCTAACTCACTTTAGAGACTCACGGATTGACTTGTTACCAGGGAATAGTCGCGTTGACAGATGAAATAGTCCTGCCTCCTAGGTGAAGACTCTGAGTCTTCTGAACACCTTGAGTTGCAGTCTGCAAATGTCTGACATGCGATTCGCTCCTGTAAAAGATAATACTATATGTCTGTCTGTCTGTTTTCGATATAGAACTTTGCACAAATGTGCGGAAGTTCAAGTCGCCACATTCCGTGTAGCACGCGAAGCAAGAGAAGAAAGTACAAGAAAAGCATAATAGAAACAGTGAGCAGAGGTGTGAGACAAAGGAGGAGTAATAACGAAGAACAAAACAGTTTCATTGGAGATCATAAGTCACAAGGAGTGGATGCATCTGCGCCACTGAGAACGATTTTGAGCCATGTCACCAATTGTTTCCAACCATAGATTTTTACCGTCCCGAGGACCCCAGCCTGGAAGTCCACACATTTCTACGTGGCTTAGACCAACTGTTGTGGATTTCATTGACTGATGCCAAGTTTTTGTTTGACCGCTGCTAGATTTTTTCCAGCCTGACCCTATATCCGCTAACATAGCTCGTCGAGGGAGGCGATGGCTTGGCATACGTAACACATGTCCTAACCATCTCAGTCTTTGTATGACTAGGCTACATTGACTCCTAGCTTAGAAATAAGGAGTGAAGTGGTAGATCACCTTGACTAATTCACTTATTTAGGAAGCTGAATCAGCCAACTCTTGATATCCTCACCTGTGTGCCTAGTACTACAACCTAGTACTCTTTCAGAGTAGTAGTAACGCGCACTACTCCGTGTTTATCATTTTGTAGACGGAACCAAACAATGTTGATTTTTCTTTCATACTGACTTTGATGTGTTTGCTAATTTAGATCTGCATCTCAACTAGCCGACATGACTTCAACTCAAACTGACAGGCAACAATCCACCAAAAAAGACCGTAAACGATCTTGGCGCAAAATGTTCATGTACACGAAACAATTAACTTCAACAAAATACAATTCCCCGTATAAAATTAATTTGAAAGAAACTTGTCAAAAATCTAAAAGTATTCACAAGAGGAAAAAACGTGAAACTGAAACATATTCACAATCTGTTAAACGTAAGTTTTATTTAATAATCTGATTGTCTTTTTTGTGGGAGGGGCGGGGGAGAGTGGAAACTATACTCCCTGTACTGTTATTTGGATACGTGATGTTTTAGTGTAAGGGTGCCGTATAATCAGTGTGGTAGAGTATGATTCCATATGATGTAACCTTATCTGATATAATAGACAATAATGAGGAAGTTATTTTGGGGTGTGTTGTTGGAGCTGTATAACAATAGTCGGGTGTTCCACTCGGATGACCAGAAAAACATCTAAGTTGTCTGCTCGTATGGTGAAAGAGGGAAGATGAGAAAAAGTAAGTGATGCCTCTAAACACTGGTATTCGTTTGAGATGTCTAATACCTCCGTTTCTGTAAAAGAAAAGGCTTTCAGAGAAGAGTTACTTTTCTTGGCGGTATAATTCTAAAGTTGTACAATCTCATGGCCTCATCAATATGCATCCATCAGTTCAACTGCTGGTGTGGAGTTAAGCATGTCACGCAGCTTTCTCTTGGAACACTAGATCAAATCTGAACACTAAGCTAACCCACCCGCAAAGGAACTTCAAAGTTATATACAGCATACGTGACAATTTATATATGTGTAAAACTTGATCACTGGGGTATTAAATAATTCCATATTAGTCTGTTTATTAGATGTATCACACAGTAAGTGAAACAGTATTATTTACTGGATGACACAGTTTCGAACAAAATTTATTGTTCATAATCATATCATCAATTATAATCACACGACTTCGAAACTTGAGTTTTATAGTTTTCTTTGTCTTCTCCTATTTGTCGTCGTTGTGTTAGTAGAATTTTCCAGATATCCGACTGGACAGGTGTTGAATCATTCCTATTACACGCATTTGCCTTTGATTCGATAAACAGAGCCTCTGTTATCAATCTTTCCTTCTACCCTCCTGTTACATGAGATTTGAAAACTGTCATCTTATCCCATCCATCCTGTTGTCTGGTTGTGTGTAACTGCATGTGGTGTAGTGCTATAGCTCAAATATTCTCTAGATTTCTTATCTTATTCAGGTCAACCAATCTAGATTTTGCTAGGTTTTTACGCTCGGCTAGTCTGACTGCCCTATTCTACTAATTTGACTTATGTATTTGAGCTGTCAATCATTGCAAGCAGGGTATTAGATAAACTAAATTGTTTTGTTTTAAAGGCTCCACAGGAGTGATCCTTTAACCGATAAAGGATGTTTCTAATTAAGTTTGTGGGTGGTTTGAATACCAGCGACTTTTATTCCTGCCTTGTTAGGATTTCTTCGTATAACTTCCGAGGTTCCTTTCTTGTATTGGATTACTACTGATGATTTAGATTCCTTATTGTTGGTGTCGCCATTAATATTATTATAATTATTATTATCACTATCGCCACTATTATTATTTATTTTATTTTAACATTTCCTTACATATTTCCTGACTAATTTATCCGGGTAATTATTAAGTTTTAAGGCTTCTTTTATGTGTATCACTTCCTGTCTTAGATTTTCCTTGGTACTACTTAGTTTTTGTTCTCTATCATGCAAACATTTCACCAATCCTCTTTTCACTGACATAGGATGGGATGATTGGAAGTTCAAATATCGGTTTGAATGTGTGAGTTTTCTGTAAACACTAGTGTTTAACTTCCCATCTTCTTTCCTTTTTACGCTGCAATCTAACATTGGATTAGGTCAGATTCCTACTAAAAGAGTACGAATTAAACTTCTCCATATCTCAGAAGCATTGGCAATTCGCATGTTAAATCCTGAACTCTGCGTACATTACCTGATCTACCTTAGCGCTGGATACGTAATTTTTCGTGTTTTTGTTTCTTAATTGTACTTTTTTCTTTCTTCAAACTCTAATAAATTTCTACCTAATTATTACCACTATTGTTAGCTTAACTCTGTACTCAATCCCATCAGTAATATTACGTCATTGAAGTTATTTAATTTCATTTTAGACTCTAGCTGGTTAAATGTAATTGAATTTGAGATTATCCTGTCGATTGATTGAAGGGAAGTGCTGAGCTAAATGCCCAGACATCGTCGAAGCATCTGCACAAGAAGCCGATATGTTAACCTGAGACTGAGCACTTCGGTCCAACCAATTGACGGGAAAATCTCAAATTCAATTAAATTAATATGACCCGTTTCACAAGAGGTGACTATCGTGGTCAAAGTGGTCTATTGGATAACGAACGCTTTGACGTTTAAAACTATGGGTGCTGAGAACATCATAACTCACTGAGAAATGCAGGTACATACAGATGACGAGTCCCAAATATGACGAAATGCGCCTTATCCTGGATTCCACTGCTAGTCAACATCTACCAATTAAATACTAGCCGGTTAAAGCCTAATACGTTACGTAATCTGTTATTTAAAATTTACAATTCCAATGACTCATTTGCTACTAAGACAAGTTATATATATATATGCACGCGGTTGTGCATCTTGAAAATGATATCGCCGTGATAAGTAACTCCTTGCTGAACGTTTTTTCCTTTATATATCTCCATTTTTTGGATAAGATTTTATTTCGATAAATCACACTATGTTGTAGAGAAAATATCTCTAGCCTTCTTGATGCCTATTAAACTCACTAGTAAAGGGAATAAAATTCACATTTGAGTCGGAAAATGAACAAGGAGAATTAACTGTGATGTTAGATTGTAAAATTAAACGAATAGAAGAAGGTAAACTGCACACTAGTGTTTATAAAAAGCTGACACAATCTGTTAATAGGAATTTAGACTTTAATTCGTCTCATCCGTTAACTGTAGGGGCTGGCTTAGTTAAGTGTCTAAGAAACCGAACAACAGCACTAAATAGTACGATGAAAGGAGACGGATAGAAGAGGTGTTGGTGTCCAAGAACTAACTATCCTATAAAATTCCTTAGGAATGTCAAAAAGAAGGTCTTAACGAAAAAAAAAATATTGCTGGAAATAATAATAGTAACATAAATAAGAAATAATATAAATCATACACTGTTATACCATATAAGAAGGGAACATCTGAGACCTTCCGTACGTAGGATTCTTAATAAAGCAGGAATTAGGGTGGCATTCAAACCTACAAACTCACTCAGGTAAGGACAACCTCCGTAGGCTAAAGGACCCTGTCGGTGGACCCAATTAAACAAAAATAATATAATTTACAAAATACCTTGCAATGACTGTGAGTTAGGTCAACTATATAGGTCAAACTAGTAGATCAGGGGCTAGTGAGATTGTCGGAACATAAGAATTTAGCTGAGATAAGAATGCTTGACCCCAAGAAGATGAGTAATGTAGAAAAAAGCTTAGCAATTGCACTTCACGCATTAACACACAACCACACAATAGATTGAGAGAGGGTTACGATTCGAAGAAGTAATCTACGTAGGTCGAGAGAGAAATTGATTACTGAGTCCTGGTTCAACGAGTCGACACCCAACACATGCAAGAGAAATGAATCAATGCAAATACCAGAGATATGGAAGATATTATTACCACCAGTCAGTCAAATGAGAGGTGGATAATAAATAATGTTAAAATGTATTCAATTCTCATTATAACATTCTGGCAAGTTACTTATTGTGACTATAAAACTCTCGTCTTATTTCCCATCTGATCGTACTTGACTGACAAAAGTAATATTCAAGTGTTGGTTTGTAGGGATTTGATTGGTTTCAGGATTTAATCATGAGCCGACATTAGTTAGAGAACCATTGGAAAACCTGGGAGTACTGGACAGCTGTTTCGTCCGCCTAGTTTGGAACTCTTCAGCAGTACGCACCCGCCGAGATTCGAAACCAGGACCTTCCGGTTACAAGGCGAGCTAGCTCGTAGACCGTTAAGCCACTGGGACCCGATCCAATGGCCAGCCCGTGAATTCTAACTTCTGCCAATTCACGACGTGGCGCGACCGCTAGCCAATGTCTTCGGCGAGTATTTGTCCTCACACCCGACCAGCTGCACCCTACTGGTCACGACTTCCCACTGGATACCAGGTAACTACCTACCTGAATAGGGCCAGTCGCCAGTGAGCATCTCATTGGTATTCTAGTGTTGGTCGTGACCAGTAGGGTGCAGCAGGTCGGGTGTGAGGACAAATACTCGCCGAAGACATCGTCTAGCGGTTGCGCTATATCGTGAATTGGGAGGAGTTGGAATTCACGGGTCCTTGGATTGGGTCCCAGTGGCTTAATGGTATACGAGCTAGCTTGCCTTGTAACCGGAAGGCCCTGGGTTCGAATCTCGGTGGGTGCGTACTGCTGAAGAGTTCCAAACTAGGCGGACGAAACAGCTGTCCAGTACTCCCAGGTTTTCCAATGGTTCTCTAACTAATGTCGGCTCATGATGAAATCCCAAAAGTAATATTATTATTCCTGAATATACTTCATCTTATATTGCTGATTTAATTCAAATGTCTAATCACGTTTTCCTCATTTACGCAAATCAAGCAAGAAACTTGTGTGAATGAGTACCTTGATATCCTTATGAGCAGTAGTAATAAATTGTACTCGAAGTGTGGTTATTAGTAAATATTACTGTCTAACAATCTGTGATTTTATCAAGATAAAATCTTATCCATAATGGAGTTATACTCTACCACCATAGTGCTCACGTTTTATACCTATATCTCCGTTTTTGTTCGATTTCACCAAACCTGTTCTAACAGAGTTGATACTGATCGAATTGGGTATCTCAGAGATTGACTTGTTACTGTTACAGAGTCTTGACGGTCTCACCCAACAACTTCAGATGATGTCCAACCTATCTCCATCGCCTTCTATATACTTGCTTAGTAATTGGCTTGTTATATGCTTGTTCGCTACCTATCAGAACTTGTCTCTTATCCCATTCTGGTGGGCGCCCTGATTTTTAGTATTCATAGAATGCATCAGTTGATGGCAAGAACTGGTTCTGAGAACCATATGGGAACACTGACTTGATTTGCATTAATTACTGTGCCTCTCCATGCTGATTTCATTTGTTTTGATTTTACTACTTATTACTAGTAAG